ACTGCTGCAAAAGGAGGGTATAGGCATTTGAAATTGCCTTCGGGAGACAATGGGATTTTAAAGGGTTTTGAAGAGGGACGCCTGGGTGGCTCAGTCAGTTAAGCGTCCTTCGTCAGCTCAGGTCATGATCTCTCGGTTTGTGGGTTCAAGCCCCTTGTCGGGCTCTGTGCTGACAGCTTGGAGCCTGGAGCCGGCTTTGGATTCTGTGTCTCCCTCTCTCCCTGCTCATGGTCTCTCTCTGTCTCTCAATAATAAATAAACGTTAAAAAAAAAAAAAAAAGGCCTGTGAAAAGGCCCTTGGTGGGTCACTCCAAAGAGTAATTTCACAGAGCCTGAAGCTACTGACCTATGCAGTTTCGGGAATATCTACACTCTGCCTTAAAACCCTGGGCAATGTGTCCACAGAATGCGAAGCAGTCTGTCGTCGGCTTCTGCCATGCCATGCATACCGTATTGGCCTCATCCTGCTGTAAAGACCGGAGGGTTTATGAATATGATGTTCTTTCTCTTGGGGCTTTTTGGCGGGGGAGGGGTAGCCAAGTGTAAGGTAGGTCTGTAGGTCTGTCAGGGAGCACAGCTAAGCTGCTTGCCCCGGACACCTTCTCTAGCACTGCGTCTGAGGACCTTGCTCTCTGAGCTTTGGGCGCTGGGGTTTTTTGGTGGAGAGCTGCTAAGATTTCACACCCATTCCAGGACGTTCTCAGGGTGAGACCTGATGAAGTTTTGGGGTGGTAGTGGGGTTCAGAGTTGCTGGCCAAGAAAGAATTTTTGAAGACGCCTTTAGTGCAAAAAGGTGATTGATTTTATTAAAGCTGGGGACAGGACCCGGGGTCAGAAAGAGCTGCACTGGGGCTGTGAAGAATGACTCCTTATATATTATGGGGCTGGGGGAAGTGAAGTCAAGAGGAAGTTTTTTAAAGGGATTTTCATGTGCTAAAGACTCACATTGCTGGAGGCCTAGCTATTTCTGGAGACCTAGCTAAGGTGGTTTTTCCCTCTGGCAAAGCATTAACATTAAGACAGTAGGGAGTTCCTGGACTTCAGGCTGTTGATGAGATTGCCTTTTTCTTATAAAAGGGTGGAGACTCTTATCATTTTAACCTTT